CATCGGGACACTATCATCATCAATCATCACCATCATCACCATCATCATCAACATCATCGTCATCGGGACACCATCATCATCAACATCATCAACGGCATCATCATCAACATCATCACCACCATCATCACCATCCCCATCATCACCATCATCACCATCATCATCTCATAATCGATCTGACTATCGATCTCACAGACGATCTCACTGTCGATCTCACAATCGATCTCACATTCGGTCTCACTATCGATATCACAATCGATCTCACAATCGACGTCATCATCATCATCATCATCATCATCATCATCATCATCATCATCATCGCCATCATCAACATCATCATCATCATCACCATCATCATCATCACCATCATCATCATCATCATCATAATCATCATCAACATCATCATCGGGACACCGACGGGACACCGACGGGACACCGGCGGGACACCGGCGGGACACCGCGCGCCACCGGCCGCCCGGAAGAGACACACTTGGTCCGGCCGCGCCTCAGCCACAGGGACACCGACGGGACACCGGCGGGACACCGGCGGGACACCGCGCGCCAGCGGCCGCCCGGCGGAGAATCATTTGGTCCGGCCGCGCCTCATCCACAGGAGACTTTCTCTCGCCCTCCCACGCAGCTTCGCCTCGCCCGCACGCACGGCACGCACGAACACGAAACCGAAATCGATTTCCCGGTAGGGGGGCTCTCCGTTCCACTTCGATCTCACCCCCTCACCTCCGATTTCCGCACTGCACCACGTCGAGATGCACCAAGCTGTGCCACGTACAGCGCACTCGTGATCCAACATGACCCGAGAGCTTCGCCAAAGATGTCCCGACTGAGTGTGCGTGTCCCTCCGCTCCGCTGCCGCTGGACCTCCCATTAGCCCACGAGGTCTCGGCTGCGTCTACGCACAATTCCACTCCGCTGGACTTCCCAGGAGCACGCGCATGGAATTTGCGACAGACGAGCAGCCCGGCAAGCTGCGAGGTCTACACGGCGACGGTTGAGCGGCTGGCAACCCCTCACGGAGCCGCGAGGTCCCGTCGGGGTCTGCGTACAGCTCCACTCCGCTGGACCTCCGAGTCGCACACACAAGTGGCGGCGGTTGCGCCGTTGGCACCCCTCCCCCCCGCGGAGCCGCGAGTTCTCGTCTAGGTCTGCGTGCAACTCCACTCCGCTGGACCTCCCAGGAGCACACGAGAATGGGGAGAGCCGCGCAGCCGGCAGCCCCCACAGGTAGCGGCGAGGTAGGTCCAGTCTGGATGGTAGAAAGAACGCAGGTTGGAGGCAGGAGTCAGGAGGCGGGAAGAGGCAGGAGAAGGAAGGTCGGTGCAGGCAGTGCTCAAAATTCAAAACGAGAGCGCAACGCAGGAGGGCTGGGAAAAACTGATGGTTGGGTCCACACTGGTGGACGTTTATATCAGCTGTGACCAGACCTCGGTCCTCGAGATCAGCCCGTCGTCGTAGATGAAGCACTCCACGACGCTTTCCAAATTATGACGCAGGTAGAGTGCCTTGGCACGCAACTTCTCTTCGCCCCTGACGTCCCCAGCAACGGAGGCGATCCGCAACCGTGCCCCCCTGGCATGTTGAGGCGTGGCAGCATGCCAAGTGCTGCATGGCAAGGCTTCTGCAATCGTCCAAGGGACCACCCCCCTCCCCCTCCCGCTCCCCCTCCCCCTCCCCGTCCTGCTCCTCCTCCTCCTCCTCCTCCTCCTCCTCCTCCTCCTCCTCCTCCTCCTCCCCCTCCCCCCCCCTTCCCGCAGCAGACGCGCGCGTGATCCGCCTCCCTTTCCAAAGCCACGGTGCCCTTGTTAAGACAGTGGGTCCGCGCTCCCGAGCGTCCGAGGCGGCCGAAGCAGGCAACCAGGGCCGCCAAATAGGGTCCAAGATGCCTCCAAGAGGGCCCATCGTGGCCCCAAGGCGGCTCAAGATTGCCTCAAGAGGTCCCAAGATGCCTCCAGAAGGCCCAAGAGGGCGACAGGATGACCCCCAGTACGGCCCCAATGTGACAAAATCATTGATTATCTGGTGGGTGTTCCATGATTATCGCGATCTCGCCTTCTCGGCTTCAGTCAGCCTGGGACGGCACCAAAGCCTCCAAGATGGCCCCACGAAGGCCCAAGAAGCTCCCAGGAGGGTGCCAAGACGGTCCAAGAGGACCCCATGATTGGCCCAAGAGGCCTCCAAGATGGTCCCAAGACAGCCAAACATGGCCTTCAGAGAGACCCAAGATGGCCTGAGAAAGCCCATCGACGACCCAAGATGGCGCCAAGATGCCCCAAGAGAGCCCCAAGACGGCCTAAGAGGGCCCAAGATGGCCCAAGAGGGCCCCAAGGGACCCCCAAAACTGCCTCGCAGGAGCACAAGACAGCCCCAAGAGGACCCAACCGAGCATCATCCTCATCATCCTCTTAATCCTCATCACGGCTTTCCCGAGCCTGGGACACGAGCTGTCTCACGTGACGGCATCCCGTGCCCCCTCGAACATTCGCCACCCAGAATTCTGGGCTGGCACGGTGGCGGGGCTTTCCCCAGGCAGCCGGATAATACCGATGAGCATGTTGAGGAGGACGTACTGCGAAATGATCACGAAAATGAGGAACAACATGTATCCGACCGAGTCACCGTTTTCCAGCATGCCAGACATAAGTCTCTCCACATCGTCGAGAAATATGCCCGTCACGACGAGGCGGTGCATAGTGTCAAGCATGGTGCCGAAGACTTTCTCTCGCACCTCGTCTCTAGCGTACGTCCTCAGCAGGATGCTGAAAACGAAGACCAGGCCAGTGAGCATGGCCCAAACGATGGCGGATTCCTTCAATCCTGACAAGAGGCCCTTAATGAATATCCGCGAAGTGCCGTTGGCACTGCACTGAGTATGGTGCACGATTGTTGCGCGGCCCAGACCCTGGAGCTCTGAGCGCTTCTTGAGCTTCGCTCGCTGGTGAATCTTCAACAGAGAGTGTGTCTCGATGTTTCCGGCCCTGGAGCACCACGAAGATGCCTCGGGAGCAGCACAGTGGTGGGATGGGCCGAAGGCCACAAGATATTCACGTCCTGCGAGGCCCTGCTGAGGCGGAGGATCCTGAGAAGCTTGAACAAACGGCACATGCGGAAGACGTTCAACTCGGTCTCGGTACCCTGGGGCACGGGCCCAGGGACCAAAACATTCGCCACGGGCACGAAGACGACATCGATAAGAGACCCCAGCACGCACGCCGTGTCGATGATGTTCCACGCGTTTCGAACAAACTCCCACGTCGAACTGCAAGCTCCAAACCGTATGACCAGCTCGACCAAGAAGAAACCGCTGCAACAAAGCTCAATGGCAATGGACCTCATATCCTTGCTGTAGACAGACGTGCCCGCGGAATAGCGTTGCGTGTCGATCCCCAAAAATACGCACCAACACAGTGTGACCAACATGGACAGGGCGAAGACGGAGGTTGCTGAACGGTCCTCGATTATCTGACGCATCCATCGCCTGGCAACGGGTATATCACTCGTTCGGGAATTGCGATTGGATAATGTACTGCCGCTTCCCATTCTCGCCTGGCGCTCCCTGTACTGAGCGAATGACTCCAAGACGGGCTCGCCAGTCTCCAGTGAAAGAGAGACAGCTCTGCGCAGCCTCATGGCTTTCTTGCGCAATGATACCTCCCCAATGCGGCGTATCCGCCTGGAGTTCCCCGACTCGGGGTCGAGCTGAACCATATCCACGAAGTATCCGCCACCGTGCCTGTTGGCACAGAGTGGACGTGTCCTCAGGTCCTTTGCCTCATCCTCTGAGCCTCAGTCCTCAGTCCTGAGGAGTTTCCTAAGGGCCTGGACCCAAAATTCTCAAATCTACCGAGGCGTCTGGGCCCCGTCGCGTTTTCTCGTGTGACTGTTTCGGAACCAAGAGGGCTCAAAGACGGCCTAAGAGGCTCCGATGACGGTCTAAGAGGGCGCCGAGTCGCCGAAATATCGTTCCAAGACACCCAAGATGGCCTCAAGATGGCCCTCCCAAGAGGACCCCAAGAGGCACAAATGATTGATGCCCCTTACGTTTATGAAAGATTTGGGCGTCTCGCGTTCTGTTTTTCGACACACCTCTTCCCGCTCCACCTCTTCCCCTGCACCGCTTCCTGCTGGCACCGCCACAGGAGACTCCCCGCGGCCATGCAACCCAACCGCCCACGGAACTCCAAAAGGCCCCCCGCACCCACCAAGAGAGGCCGGCCCCAGTCGGGGCCGCGCCCCCCCCGAGCAGGGGACGGCCAAAAAGGCGCAGCCCGCGCACGTCCCGCCAGCCACGCGCCGAAACCGCGTGCCCGCTCCTGCAGGAGCGACCGCTCCCCAGCAACACCCTCCCAAGGGGAGCGCAGGCGCTGGCCCAGCAGCTCCGCCCGCCAGCGCACCCCCAGCGGTCCGTGTGAAGACAGCAGGTCTCCTGTCCATACCCAGTGGCACAACGCGGAGGGACCGGAGCAGCAGGCGGGGCAACCGCAGCACGAGCACCTCAAGCAGCACCACGAGCAGTACCTCTCCCCCGCTCCGCCGGCAGCCGCCGCCACGCGGACCAGAGCCAGCCCAGGAGGTGCAACCTGCCCGCAACCCGAGCGGAGGGACAAGCCCACCCGCCGCGCGCCACAGCGCGGACCCCTCCCCTCACGAGGGCACCACCCCGACCTGGGCTGCCCACCACGCGGGCGAGGCCATTCTCGCCAACCTTCCAGACCTTGCGCCGCCCCCACGCCCAAGCCTCGGCAACAGGAGCGTTCAATCCTTAGAGGCTGGCACGGCGATCCCCCCAGACCCCCAAGACGGGAAGGCTGCTTACAACATAGCGCACGTTCTGGTTCACCACGCCCGGGCGCTACACCACAACGTCAACGAAGCCTGGAGGACGTGGACCGACTACCCAGCTGGCCACCCCGAGGGATCCAAGGGTCTGGTCGGAAGGCGACTGCATAAACTTCGATCCTCAAGAGCATATACGGCACCACAATCCCCGACAGCGGGATCCCGGACGGAACGCAATGGAACAGGAAGCAAGCTGCCCTGGCGCACCTAGTCGCCTACTTCCAAAGGCAGAAGACCCAGCCCGCCGAGGGAAGGCAAGAACAAATTGCGGATCCATGGACTTCCTTCCGCCTGAATAACCACCGACAGGCACGCGACAAAGACCATGATCCCAACAGGTACAGCCAGGAGTTCCTCCTCGGTTTCCTGGCCTCTCTAAGGATCCGAACCCTGCAGACTCCGTTGCTTGCCCGTTACGACCCGAGCACGGCTGCCCACCACAGCACCAAGCCCAACTACAACAAGATCAGGACAGGCCCACCTCCCGCGCTGCGCAGCACGGACACATCGCACGACGCCCAAGGCAATGCAACCCCGAGGGAGGCCAGCAGATCCGCCCAGGGGCCCATTGGCGGGGCGCCCACCCATCCCGGCTCTTCGCACCGGTCCCCTGCCGAAAGGCCCACCCAGGGCGCTGCCACCCCCCCTACCAGGAACCACCGTCCGCCCACGCCGTCTCGCGTGCGCATCGAAGTCGATTTCGGCGACTTTTTGCGAAACCGAGCCACCCGCCAGCCACCCCGCCGGCGAGCAGGAGCGCTCACCACCCCACCAGCCGACGCTCCAAACCCCCACCGCGGTAAGGGGCGACGGCAACGTCGACCCAACCCCGGGCATCCGCACGGAGCTGGTGGCAAAAGGGGGCACGACTGACGAACCTGACGGTAGCGCGCACGCAAGACCCCTCGGACCGCAAAACAAACCAGCGGCGACCCCGACGCTCGCCCCGCCGCTGGGGGAGGTGCGGCGTCCAGCGGGCACAAAGGCCGCACCCACCCGCCCTTCCCACCGCATCGGCCCCCCCACATCCACGCCAAGTACAAGCCCCACCACGAACCCGCCGACAGCCTCTACAACAAGCCTCGCCGGGACATACACTGGCACTGCGCATGGAACTACCAACCCCGCCGGTACGAGTCTTGGCCAGAAAGTGTCAACAGGCTGAAAAAGGAATGCGGTCCCCATGTTCGTCATCGGCTGGAACCCTCTCTGCGACTCGACCTGCGGGAAGGACGGCCGGGAGCAACGTACAACCCCGACGGGCAGGACCACTTCTGCGAGGAGATCGTGTGCCTGTCGTGCGACAAAAACTTCGACATTCGCCAGCTGTGCAGGAAGCGGAGCATACGCATTGACTGGCACGTTGCTTGGAACAAGCACGTGCGAAGGAGTGAGTCGTTGCATTCCGACAAGGGCAAGGGCAAAGGCAAGGGCCAGGACTCAACGGGGAAAGGCAAGCGGCGCGCCGACCCAACCTGGCCCAACAACCAGCAGACCAGGCAGCTCCTTCCCAGCACCCACACACCATACCCCTAACGCGCCTCCTGGACCATCAGAAGAGCTGGACTCGTCACCCACCGCACGCTGGCTGCCCCATGCGGGCAAGGACCCCCCCCCAGTCCACTGCAGGGCGCGCCATCCATCCTGCCCACCCAAACCCCCGGACCCACCTCCCCAGTGGCTGCCCAACACGCCCAACGCCCACCCTGAGTATGCCCTGAGGCTACCCTGGGGGCACTACGCCACCGCCACCTCACGTCTACTCCGGTCCTCGTCTGAGCCTACAAACGCTCCCGCCGCACGCCCCCCCTGGTGGCGCGAAGCTCTGCTCTGTTCCCGGCCATGCCCGCTCTGATCTGAGCCTCAGTTAGGGCGCGCCCACGGCCGTCCATCCGGACCGCGGTGGGCGCCGATGGCCCCCTCACGCGCTGCCATCCCGGTCCATCCGGGCCGGGGGGCTGCCTCCCGCCCTTTCTTCTTCGCCGACGTGCACCGGTCAGGTGCTTTCCCTTGCCCTTTCCCCCTGACGCCGGCTTCCGATGCTGTTCTGGCCCGCCCAGGCACGTCCGCAATCGCCCCCATGGCGGTGGGCGCCCCCGCCCCCCCAGCTTGCCTTGTCCACCCGGGCAGGTGGGCGCGCTCGCGCTCTTCCTGCCGCGCGCCTTCTCGGTACCCCTCCCCGCCCCCCGCTCTGCCCAGCGAGCTGGGGCCGTTGGCGTCTGCCGCAGTTTTTACTGGGCAGGGGCGGGGTCGACGACGGCGGTAGCCCCCCTTGTCCTCCTGCAGGCCCACTCTGTCCACCTGGGCAGGGGGACCTTGCTCACCTTCATCTCGACATGCACCAGTTCGGTGCCCACCTCTTTCTCGCCGCCGTCCCCCGCCAGACCCTGCCGGGTCTTTGCTTTCGGCTGGCTCATCCTACCCACTCTGGCTGGAGCCCTCCTGGTGCCCCGCTGGGCGTACGCTGGCGCCGTCCCGCCCCGTACGGCAACGCCCGGCGACGCCGCTGCCGCCCAGCGCCGCCGCCCCGCCTGTAGGTCTCCGCAGGCGGGGCGTCCCCCTTCCTATTCGGTTTTCCCTCCCCCGCTCTCTCTCCCTCACACTGCGCGCCGCCATGGCCATGGGTGACTGCTCGCAGCCTGCGCTGCTGCCCCGGGTTTGGTCTGGACGCCCGCCGCCGCAGCGGCCCATCGACCGACTGGGCACTCCTCGCCCACTCACCTCCCTGGGGCGCACCGCCATCTACTCTGGGCTTTGGCACTGTTCGCGTCGCATCCTGTACCACTGGCAGCCCCAGCTCCCGTGCTGCGCCCCGCCGCCGCCGGGCCCCGGCGCAGCAGCCGCCGCCTCCCCCGCCGGCGGGGCCGGCCGCGCCACTCGCTCCGGGTGTGACCCGTCCCCCTGAGCGGCCCTTGCTCCCTCTTCCTCCTTCGGCCGCCCTCCCTGTCTCCTTTCGTTTTCCTGCATTGTGGCACAATTCGCTTCAACGGCATCACCGTTGTCATTGCTCTTCCGCCAGTGCAGTTACTCTGCCTAGCCGCCAACGCAAAAATTTCCCCGACGCTACAAGACGGCCCAAGACGCCTCCAAGATGGCCTAAGAGCGTGCCAAAACGGCCAAAGATGCGCCCAAGACGGCCCAAGAGGGCCCCAAAACGTCCTCAAAGGGGCCCTGGAGAGGGAACGCCAACCGAAAATCTGAGCCTTCCACCTCAAGAAGCCCCCAGGAGGCCCGAAGAGGCGCCAGAGAGGCTCCAGAAGCACCAAGAGAGGCCCCCAAAGGTCCCCAAGATGCCAAAGAGGCCCCAAGAGGCCCCAAAACGGCCCCCAGAAGGCATCGAAAATGCCTCCAAGAGGCCCCCGAGAGGCGCCCCACGAGATCCCAACGAAAATCCAATACCCTTCCCACCCACAACCCAGGCACGATGGCAGGATTGGCCGAAGGCCATTCGATATCTCCATCGGAACGTTGCCAGTGTTTCCGCTCCGCACCAGCATTCTCGACACTCCAGACAGCCATCCCTTCTCGATCCTCTGTGACTGCTCGGCGCTGTACGGCGCCCAGCCTTTCCCGTGGGATCGCTCCCACTCCCACCAAACACTCTGGCCATTCTGGCTTGCGTCCGTCGGTGCCGAAGATCGGCGGCGATCCCGGGAGGGAAGTGAGAAGGGGCGGGCCTTATCAGAAGGCTTGGGAGTCCCCGGGCCTTCTGAGAAGTTTCCTCCTACGCCTTCCCCGAAGACGCAGACAACCTCGCAGAAGGCGCGAGACCTTCTGAGAAGTCCCACCGCCTTCTGGGAGAGCCTTTCCTTCTCACTTCCCCCCCCGCCCCCCGCCGAGAGGACATGTCCCTGGACGACTCGCCCGCCACCACGTGCAAGCGAGGCTCGCTCACCTACCCGGCCACACGCCAACCACCGTGGCCAGATCGGCAAAGGCATACCAAATTTGGGGCGCCGCCTGCCGATCGCTGCGTGCGATGCCACACCAGCGGCGGCCGCGCGCTCGGGTTTTGCCCCCCCCCACCACCCCCACTACTACGACGACTACGACGACGACGACTACTACTACTACTACTACTAACTACTACTACTACTACTACTACTACTACTACTACTACTACTACTACTACTACTACTACTACTACTACTACTACCACTACTACTACCACTACCACTACTACTACCACTACTACTACCACTACCACTACCACTACTACTGCTACTACTACTACTACTACTACTACTACTACTACTACTACTACTACTACTACTACTACTACTACTACTACTACTACTACTACTACTACTACTACTACTACTACTACTACTACTACTACTACTACTACTACTACTACTACTACTACTACTACTACTACTACTACTACTACTACTACTACTACTACTACTACTACTACTACTACTACTACTACTACTACTACTACTACTACTACTACTACTACTACTACTACTACTACTACTACTACTACTACTACTACTACGCCTACGCCTACGACTACGACTACGACTACCACTACTACCACTACTACCACTACTACCACTACTACCACTACTACCACTACTACCACTACTACCACTACTACCACTACTACAACCCGGCCCGCGCGCGCTCCCATCGCGCAGAAGAAATGGCACGCCCGCCACGCCTGGGTAGCATATGTCTGGAATCGAGAAAGTGCCACGCCTGTCCTGCCTTGCGTTCCTGCAACGCATAGAGACCGCACCCCCTGCGCACCCTTCTGGTGCCGAGAAAGTGTCACGCCCGCCGTGCCCTGCGAGCCGGCAACGCATAGAAACCGCGCCCCCTGCGCACCCGCTCTGGTGTCCAGACAATGCCACGCCTGCCGTGCCCTGCGAGCCTGCAACGCATAGAGACCGCACCCCCTGCGCACCCCCTCGGATGTCGAGAAAGTGCCACGCCCGCCGTGGCTCTGCGAGCCTGCAGCGCATACAGACCACACCCCCTGAGCACCCCCTTCTGGTGTCGAGAAAGTGCCACGCCCGCCGTGGCTTGCGAGCCTGCAACGCATAGAGACCGCACCCCCTGCGCACCCCCTCTGATGTCGAGACAGTGCCACACGTGTCGTGCCTTGCGCGCCTGCAACGCATAGAGACCGCGCCCCCTGCGCACCCCATCTGGTGTCCAGAAAATGCCACGCCTGCCGTGCCCTGCGAGCCTGCAACGCATATAGACCGCAACCCCTGCACACCCCTTCTGATGCGAAACAGTGCCACGCCCGCCGTGGCTTGCGAGCCTGCAACGCATAGAGACCGCACCCCCTGCGCACCCCCTCTGGTGTCCAGGAAATACCACGCCTGCCGCGACGCGAGTCTGCTGTGCCCAGTATGTGGCGCATACGTCGTGGGTGCGTGATGCAGTAAACACGCCAGGCGTGCACTGGCGTTGTTTGTGTGTGTGTGTGTGTTGGTGTGTGTGTGTGTCTCTGTGTGTATGTGTGTGAGGGTGCGTGTGTGTGAGAGAGAGGGTGTGTGTGTGAGTGCGTGTGTGTGTGTGTGTGTGTGTGTGTGCGTGAGGGTGTGTGTGTGTGTGACTGCGTATGCGTGCTGTCTCATGTGCGTGCCGTGCATATGTTGCGCGTGGACGAGGCGAGAGAGGAAGAGGTGAGGAGGGAGGAGGGAGGGAGGTGAGTGGGTGAGCGAGGCGCGGGTGCGCCGCGGGTGGGAAGAACACAAAAACCCCACTAAGCATATGGGAGGAAAAACCAGATGAAGTCGCCAGATGCAACGGAAACGTTGCAACGAGGCCCAAGACTGGGTCGCCCCGACCAAGTCCGGTGATTTCCTCGGCAGGGCACCAACGGGGTGTGTGGGCGTGGAGCTCATCGAGTTAGGGTTTGTCATTCCCTTGTTCGTGTTTTCGTTCCCTGATTCCAATCGCTGTTGCGATTCTAGATTCCGCGATGGTCGCGGTCGTCGGGTTTGGTCTTGAACGCAGTACGTTGGATGGGCCACTTGCCCACGATGTTTCCTGTCCGCCGCCTACGAGCGCGTCGCCGTCGTCGTCCGCTGTCGGGGGTCGTCGTCGTCGGTAGATCGGTCGGTCGGTCGTCCTCCATCCTCCTGGTCCTCCTGGTCCTCCACCCCCCCCCTCCTGGTCCTGATCCTGCTGCTGCTTCTAGTCCTCCTCCTCCTCCTCGCCCTCCTCCTCCGCTCTTCCTCCTCCTCCTCCTCCTCCTCCTCCTCTTCCTCCTCCCCCTTCCTCCCCCCCTCTCCTGCTCCTGATCCTGCTGCTGCTGCTGCTGCTGCTGCTGCTGCTGCTGCTGGTTACTCCTCCTCCTCCTCCTCCTCCTCCTCCTCTTAATCCTCCTCCTTCTGTCCCTAATTACCTCCTTCTCCTTCCACTTATCTTCCCCCTCCTGCTCCTCCTGCTCCTCCTGGTACTCCTGCTCCTACTCCTACTCCTCCTCCTGCTCCTGCTCCTGCTCCTTCTGCTCCTCCTGCTCCTCCTGTTCCTCCTGTTCCTCCTGCTGCTGCTCCTCCTCCTCCTCCTCCTGCTCCTCCTCTTCCAATTTCTCCTCCTGCTCCTCCTGCTTCTCCTGCTCCTCCTGCCCCCCCTGCTCCTCATGTTCCTGCTCCTGCTCCTGCTCCTCCTCCTGCTCCTGCTCCTCCTCCTCCTCCTCCTCCTCCTCCTCCGTCTCCTCCTCCTCTTCCTCCTCCTCCTCCTCCTCGTCCGCCTAATCCCCCCATCCCCAACCTCGTCCCCCCGCCGCCTTCTTCCCCAAACCCTTGCGCCATTGCAACGCACCGCCCTCTCATGGATAACCCCACCCCTGCCGAACACCAGGCACTCGAGGAACCCTACGAAACATCACTCCAGCCGCGGATGTCCAACCCAACACGCTTCCCATGTAGCTACCCCACCACACCTTTCCGTTTCCGTTTCCACTGCCCGACCTTTCCGTTTCCAGTGCTCGGCCTTTCCTATTCCAGGGTTGGGAACAGCCGTTCCAGAGTTGGGAATCAGCATTTCCAGGGTTGGCGGGAGCTCAGGTTTCCGGGGTTGAGACGTCATTTCTCGGGTTGGGAGTTTTACCCCCAGACCCCAAACTCCAGATGCCCGGCGTCATGATCTTGTTCATGACGTGGGCCCCAAAAAGTCTCGACCTACTCCGTGGGTTCAATTTTTCATACTGCCGCGCTGTTGTTCCCCATATCCAAAGGATGGAATTTTGTTATTACTCCGACCGCGCAAACTCCCACTCACTCACACCTCCCTCCTCCTCCTCCTCCTCCTCCTCCTCCTCCTCCTCCTCCTCCTCCTCCTCCTCCTCCTCCTCCTCCGTCTCCCCATCCTCCTCCTCCTCCTCCTCCTCCCCCTCCTCCTCTTCCTCCTCCTCTTCATCCTCCTCTTCCTCTTCCTCACTCAGAGTGGTTCCCGACATCCAGCGGATGGAAACTTGCTCCATGTATCCCAATGATGGGGCGCTTGTTCCCCATAACCAAAGGTTGGGTTTCCTTGTTATTACTCCAACCGCGCCGAGAAGTCACCTCCCTCACCGCTTCCTTCTCATGTTACTTAATGGTATGGTATGTTATCGTTTGGTATCGTATGGTAGGCTACGTTGTGGTATGGCATGCGATGGTTACAGCATAGCATAGTTTCCATGGCATGCTATGGTGATGGTGATGGTGATGGTGATGATGATGGTGAGGGTGACGGTGATGGTGGGTGGTGGTGGTGGTGATGATTATGCTGACGATGATGAGGAGTAGGATGGGGATGCCGATGATGGTGATGATGATGCTGATGATAGTTATGGTGATGGGGATGAATGGTGATGATGCAGATGAGGATGACGATGATGCTGATGATGATCATCATCATGATGACAATGGTGATGGGGATGCTGATGCTAGTGCTGATGCTGATGCTAGTGCTGATGCTGAGAATGTTGATGCTGATGTTGATGCTGACGTAGCTGATGCTGATGATGATGCTGATGATGATGATGCTGATGATGACGACGATGACGATGACGATGACGATGACGATGACGATGACGATGATGATGCTGATGCTGATGCTGATGCTGATGATGCTGATGGTGATGATGATGATGATGATGACGACGACGACGACGACGACGAGGAGGAGGAGGAGGAGGAGGAGGATGATGATGATGATGATAATGATGATGGCGGGGCAAATCCTGAGGATGTCTCGAGCGAGGCGCGGGTTTCAGCACCCCCAAGGGGGAGCCGCCAGGGGGTATATCACTCCTCCGTTCGCGCCGAAATGGAGGAGATGTCTCGAGCGGTTTGTCTGTTTGCCAGCGCAACATCCTCCGCTCTCGGAGCAGCAGATTCGGAGGATGTCTCAAGCGAGGCGCTGGTTCTCGCTCCACTGGTGGCCCGTATTGAGTCTCGAACGGTTTGCCTGTTTTGCTGGCCAGACTCGGGGGCACGGATCCTCCCCAGGAGGCCCCAGGAGCCCCCACAAGGCCCCAGGAGCAGAATGCCTCAGAAGGCCACAGGGGTGGCTCCAATCCCATGTGTTGTACGTATGCTCCAAAAATATATGTGTATATATATATATATATATATATATATATATATATATGCACATATATTGGAACCCTCCTGGGGCGCGAATCCTTTGTTTTTTCCGTATGTTTCTGTAGATTGTCCTTCTCCTGTGTATCCACTCCTAAATGTTTTACGTGGTCCTCATTGTATTAACCTCTCCTGTGGCTCCAATCCGAACTGCTTTACGTCTGTTTCTATAGATTGGGCCTCTCCTGGGGCACGAATCCTCCCCAGGAGGCCCCAGGAGGCTCCAGGAGGCTCCTGGAGGCCCCAGGAGGCCCCAGGAGGCCCCAAGAGTCTCCAGGAGGTCCCAGGAAGCCCCAGGAGGTCTCAAGAGGCCTCCAGGCTCATGCGTAGAGACGCACTGATACTACTGAGACTCCTTCACGCTCCAACTCATTCACAATTAGAATCAATCCTAGACCTTCAATACTCAAGCCCGCTTATATTCGAAAACTCTTGCGCCTAGACGCTCACGGCGGACAGGCCCATGCTGGTAGATGCACATCTAAGGATCTTCACGCAGTGAATACTTGACACTCCCAGGGCCCAGCAAGGGCCCCTTATAGGCCGAAGACAACAAAAAACCTTCCGCCATGATTTTTGTCATGACTCGAGGGGGCCTGGGACCCAGAGGTCGCGCCGGCGAAGGGCCACTTCTTGCGTGCGGCCGGACCTGCTGGGCTGGCGTGCCCTCCGGGTCGCGGCCCGCGGCAGGGGTGGCCCCGTCGCCAGCGCCCGTGCTCGCCGGCCAGGAGCCCCGCGGCCAGTCGACCCCGATCTGCTCCAGCTCGGGCTCGGCGTGGGCGACGGCCGGCGGCTCGCCATCGCTGCCGTGGACGCCGCCACCAGGGGCCGCCGCGAGCGACGGCCGCGCCTCCCCAGAGCGCCAGGGCTGGCAGGCGGCGGCGCCCGGCAGAGACGCAGAGGTGCTCAGCTCCGCGCGGATCCTTGCGAGAGCACCCACCAAGTCCACGGACCCTCCGTGCCCAAAGTATGCAGACCCAGAGATCCGATGTCGTGATTTGTTCAATGCGCGGTCCCCGGAAGTCTCAACCCATTCCCCAGGACCGGTGTTTCATCCTCAGTCGTTTTGTTGACGGTCCCGAGGTCCAGCAAGGGCCCCCAGGGGCCGAACTTGGCGCAAAACCTGTCTTGATTTTTTCATTACATTGGATCTCTGGGGAGGTGCTCAGCTCCGCGCCGCGCTCCATTCCGCCCGTCGGCCCCGAGCCCGCCAGCGCACGAGCTTCCTCTGGCGCCTCGGGCCCTGCATGCGCGGGCGAGGCCCCCTCCGCCGGCCCGTGCCTCCAGACCGCCTCGTGCGGGGCCGGCACCGCGAGCCGCCGCAGCTCCTCCCGCACGACGCGCCGCAGCGCCTCGGCGATCTGCTCGAGCAGGGGCGGGCACAGCTCTTCCCGCACAGCGCGCCGCAACGCTTCGTGGAGATCGTTCCCGCTCGGCCCAAGGTCCAGCAGAGGATCGGCTTGCAGGCGCGTCACGACCTCGCTCCAGGCGGAAGGGCCGCCGTGCTCACGGCTGATCTGCGCGTGTCTGGGCATTCCTTTTCGGACCCCGGGGGGGCCACGCAGGAGACACCAGCTTCGAGCGCGAGCCCAAACGGCAACGGACGATGACCAGGCTGGCAATGGGTCATGCATCAACCACACGAGGTATGCGACGCTGCGGGTGCAGAATGCGGCGCAGGGTCGGAACACGCAGCGGCCACAAAAGATAACTACCCAAATGTGCGTTCTACCTTCTCCTGCACGGGACTGGTGCCATAAATTCGCCGGCCCAACGGGCCAGGGCGTGCTAAGATCTCCGGTACCTGGTTAACAGTATTTCTAGTTCGCGCGCGCGGGGCGGCCCCTGGGGGTCCCCGGACGAAAAGTACCCCGGCAAGGTCCCGGCAAGTCTCCGGCAAGTCCCCGGCAAAACCCCGGCAAGGTCCCGGAAAGGTCGGGTCAGAGATGCCGGAGTTCTGTTTCGGAGTCCAAGAGGGCTCCAGATCGGTCCAAGAGGGCCCCGAGAAGCTTTCTAGACGGTCCAAGAGAGGCCCGAGACGGCCAAAGATCGCCCGAAGACGCCCCAGATGGCCCCAAGACAGCCCAAGAGGCCTCCAAGACGCTCCAAGGGCCTTCCAAGAGGCCTCCGAAGAGGGCCCCAAGTTGCCAAAATCGTTGATTATCATTAGTTTTTTCTATGTTTTTTTGCGTTCTGGCCTTTTCGCTTCCGGACGCTCCAAGAGGGCCCAAGAGGCCTTCAAGACTGCTCCAAGACGGCCCACGAGGCTCCCAAGACGGCCCCAGAGCGGCCCAAGAGCGCCCCCCAGACGGCCCAAGTGCTGCCCAAGGCGGACCAAGAGGCCCCAAGACGGGCCCAAGAGGGGCTCAAGAAGGGAACCGAGAACTGAAAAATCGAGCCCTCCGCCCCAGAAGGCGCCCAGGACCCCGAAAGAGGCCCCAAGAGACTCTCCAAGACACCCCCAAGACGCCCCAATAAGCTCCCGTGAGGCCCCAAGAGGACCAACAACGTCAGGCCCCAGGCCCCAAGAGGACCAACAAATACCGCCAAGAGCCCGCCGAAAGCCCCCCAAGAGACCGTCACGAGAGCTCAGGAGGCCCCCTGGAGGCCTCCCGAGTTCTCCAAGAGGCCTAAAAAGAGGCGCCAAGAGGCCCCAAACGGCCCCACCGAGGCTCCAAGAGGCCACGAACGCGCAAGCAAACGCCTGCGATGGCACAATACGGGCCGGCGGAATGAGCGAAGCGATTAAATAAGGCCATCCGATCGCATGCCGCGCAAGGCGCAAGATCGTAGAATCCGCTACCACACTGTGCCGCAGCTGGTGTACGGTCCCCTCTTCCTTCAGGAAGCCCGTTGTGTAATTCCCTTCGGCCCCTCCTCGCTACTTCCCCTACCTGTTCCACCTCCTCCGCGTCCCACCCACCGAGGGGTCGCCCACGACATGTATGCCCAAGGGAAGACATGCAACACGCTCAGAACGCATGTGTACATGCTAAAACTCTGGCAGGAACCTGAAGAGGCGTGGCGCGGCAGTACAGCCGCACGCGCTGATTTCTGATTTCGACTCCTTGGCCCGCGTGCGTGCGCACACGGCCGCTTAGTTGCTTCGGCCTCCTCCGCTTTCCTGCCACCACTCCCCTCGCAGTTCCCCCCCCTCCCCCCCCTCGACTCCCCCCCTCCTCCAATGGCGGAATGCGGCATGAAGGCCCTGCGGCACGATCCCAGGAAGAGGCGCTGCTGCTGGGTTTGATGTGCTGGGCTGATTCGACCTCCACGGCCTCCTTCACCTCGGCACTGCCCCCTCTCCCCCCTCCCCTCCTCTCCGCCCTCGTGCGCTGGCGGGCCTCCTCCTCCCCCTCCGCCTCCCCCCCCTCGGCCTGGGCCTTCCTCGGCCCTGGCTGTCTTTGCCTCTCCCTCGTCAGACACCACTCGCAAAACCACGGCTGCCGCGGGCCATCTGCCGCCCGACCCAGCCGGACCGGCACCTCCGCCCACCCCGCTGGGCTGCTCTGGGGATCCGCTCTCGCAACCCCCCCTGAGGGGCGGGCTCACGCGGGGCGAGGCCTCGAAGAGTGAGATGTTGTTCATGCCGGAAACCAGCGTGAAGGCCGGATCGATCTTCCTCCGGCCAGCGCGGAGGGGTGGAGGAGGAGGAAGAGGAGGAGGAAGAGGAGAAGAAGGAGCAGGAGGAGGAGATAGGAGGAGGAGGAGGAGGAGGAGGAGGAGGAGGAGGGGAGGGAGGGAGAGGAGGAGGAGGAGGCGGAGGAGGCGGAGGAGGAGGAGGAGGAGGAGGAGGAGGGGGAGGAGGGGGAGGAGGGGGACAAGGAGGAGGAGGAGGAGGAGGAAAATCTGGCCTGAACGTTATTTTTGGGACATGAGCAAAGGAGGAGGAACGTGCAGAAGGAAGCGCACGTGCAAACGCCAGTCGCTGCAATGCTGGGATCAGACCGTGCGAGCTTGCACGTTCTCCGGCAGAAGGCAGCAGGCGGCGCGGCGTGAGCCAGGGCGCTCGGCAGGACGCTGCAGAGGGCGATGCCGCCAAAGGACGATGCTCGACTCATGGGCCAACACCTGGGGGGGGGGGGGGGCCGTCCCCCATCCCCCCTCGCCGCTCGGCGCCACGGCCGGGCCCTCGTCGCCACGGGAGAAAAAAAACAGCATGGGGAAGATACAGCTGGTCCGCGCGCCGTCAGCTACAGTTCTGAAGCTCACGCCTGCCCACGTTGGGCCTGGGGGTGCGGGCGGCCTTTTGCGCCGCCGCGCTGTGTCTCCCAGCTTCGGAGGTCAGGCCAGCAGAATCCAGCAGAATCCAGCAGAAACCCCTCCCTCCCTCCCTTCCCTTCCCCTCCCCTCCCCACCCCCCTTCCCTCGACTCATCCCATTCCCAGACGTCTGGTGCCTGGTCTTCTTGTGCAATACGGAATCCCCTAAATCCCGACCCTTTTCCCAAGGCCGACTTTTCGTCCCGAATCGTTTTGTTGACAGTCCTGGGGTTAGGCGAGCGATCCCGCAGACCGCACAATGACGAAAAACTGCTGTCTTAGTTTGTTCAAGCTATTGGATGTTCTGGCTTTCGAACCCCACTTCGGGCCTCCTGGCGGCCGATCGGAACGATCCCGGCACCCCCTGAGCGCTCTCGACGAGGCGCAGCTGCTGCAAAGCATCCCGAGGCGAGAAAACGCAAAACAACGCGGCCGACGACGTTAGAAAACCCTGCAGAAACGACGAGGACGCCCGAAAGCGTCCGCCCCCCCCTGGGCAGGATCAGTCAGCATCGAATCGACAGCTCGGATCGAATCGACATGTGCATCGGATCGGGCCGCATCGGCAACCACATGGGATCGGCTGCGCCAGCGCCGTGCAGGCATCGGGCCGCATCGGATCGCCCGAAAATTGGACTTACCTCGTGTCGGGCCGGCCAGAGCCGGCGTTGCGAGGCGGTGATCTATCGATACCCGCCGCCGGGGGAACCAACTTCCTGGGACCTCAGCGGGCGGCGGATATGGACATACGTTTCGGCCCAAGAGGGCCCAAACAAATATATCTCCACCGCCTGCCGACGCCCCGAAGGTCGATCCCCCAAGCGGTGGTTACAGTCGGGCTTCTGAAGTAAGGAACGCTGAAGAGGGAACGAAGTCCCTTCCCTGCACGGGCAGTGCCCAAGTGCACCCGAGGAGCCACCGCGGAAAGACCTGGGGAAACAGCGAGCCCCGCCCCGAACCCAAGCTGCTCCCTATATAGTTATGCTTATGGTGTGCGATATATATATATATATATATATATATATATATATATATATATATGTAGGTGTGTATACTTGTATATATGTATATGTAAACATTCATATCTATATATATATATATATACGTAACACCCCGCGATTGCGGATAAGAGTGAGGGGGCGGGCGCGGGCGTTGCGGGCATCGAGGTTGCGGATTTCGTGGCCCTCACTTTCTTTGTCGCTGGCGCTCCTCCTCCTCCTCCTCCTCCTCCTCCTCCTCCACCTCCTCCTCCTCTTCCTCCTCATCCTAGTCCCTCTGCTCCTCTTCCTCCTCGTCCTTGCCCTAGTCCCCCCTCCCCCTTCCCTCCCTCCTCCCTCAGCCGCCCTCCTCCTCCTTCTCCTCCAGATGGTCGCGGATGGTCGCGGGGTCGGTCGCGGGTCGGGGGCTAGCGAAAACAAACCACCCGCCTTGCGCGCCGATTTGAAATTGCAACGTGCGCGGGGTGGTCGCGGTGGGTCGCGGGGTCGGTCGCGGGTCGGGGGTCGTGAGCAAACGCAAAACAGCCCGCCGCAGGCGCCGAAATTGAAATTGCAACATGCGCGGGGCGGATGATCACGGGTGGGTCGCGGATGGTCGGTCAGGGGTCGTGAGCAAACGCATAAACAGCCCGCCGCAGGCGCCGATGTTGAAATTGCAATGTGCGCGGGGTGGTCGTGGTGGGTCGCGGGGTGGGTCGCGGGGTGGGTCGCGGGTCGGGGGTCGTGAGCAAACGCATAAACAGCCCGCCGCAGGCGCCGATTTTGTAATTGCAATGTGCGCGGGGTGGTCGTGGTGGGTCGCGGGGTCGGTCGGTCGGTCGCGGGGTGGGTCGCGGGTCGGGGGTCGTGAGCAAACGCAAAACAGCCCGCCGCAGGCGCCGATTTTTAAATTGCAACGTGCGCGGGGTGGTCGCGGTGGGTCGCGGGTGGGTCGCGGGGTGGGTCGCGGGGTCGCGAGCGAATGCAAAACCGCCCGCCGCAGGCGCCGATTTTTGAAATTGCAATGTGCGCGGGGTGTATCGCGGGTGGATCGCGGGTGGGTCGCGGGGTGGGTCGCGGGTCCGTCGCAGGTGGGTCACGCAGCGGGGCGTGAAGTGGGTCGCGGGCGCGGGGTCGCGGAGTGGGTCGCGGGTGGGTCGTGGGTGGGTCGCGGGGTGGGTCGCGGGTGGGTCGTGGGGTGGGTCGCGGGGTGGGTCGCGGGGTGGGTCGCGGGTGGGTCGCGAGGCGGGCCACGGGGGGGGACGACGCCAAACAAACAAGCAAACAACAAACAACAAACAACAAACAACAAACAG